CATCCACCCCCTCTTTCCGCAGTGGGTCACCTTTATCACTAAAGCAGCTTAAGAACACGACACTCTATCCATGGAAATGTCACCAGCAGCTTCCCTGCTTCTTCTACGAAACTTCAAAAAGCAAATTGCCTTTCGTCAAATGGAACGAGAGAGGAAAATGTAAGGAGAAAATTACATGCAGGATAATTTCTTCCTGGCACTAAATGGAGCATGGTAGGAGAAATGGAAGCCAGAGGGAAGAACAATTCCTTGGGTTTGATAGCTGTCATTTCTGGAATAACACTGCCGTTTCTCTCCGCTCCCATAGGTGTAAGTTCACTTGCATCAGTAACGGTCATGCATTTCTTCCCAGTCAAAAGAGAGCTGTTAAAACCGAGCATTTCTAGCATCATTTAAAAAAAAAGACTGAAGAGAGGATATTTTAAAGTCATTTGTCATTCTCCTATAGTGGTATCTATGGCAAAATGTGTGTGCACAGCTGCTGCACTATGTTAGACCTGAAAGGAACATACTGGAGGAAAAATGGATGCCCGATCCTGTTCTCTATGCTCTGAATATTTACCAAACCCTATCAGAAAGACTTGTGACACTCTAAACTTTATTTTAAAATATACACAGAGGAAATTAAGAGATTTGGAAGCACCAATGAGAATGACAACTCCACCAGCAAGGCAGAGGAAGGTGGCTTGTGGAGCTAACTGAGTAATTTAGGAATGAAATGTAAACTCATAACAAAAATAATCCAAATAAAAGTGTCCCAGGATAATGCTGCAGGATCCAATTTGGGTCGGTCACCAAGATGAAGGGGTTTAGTCTTTGGAGATTTTGGACTCATGCTGGAGTCCACCTCAAGTATGAAGATGACATCTACCAGAGGTCTCTTCTTCATCCACACCATCATTTCCATGGTCTGCATGTCATAGTACATGGCAGGGTGATTTCAGGAGACTTCTGTCACTCCATAAAAAAGTCATGCGGTAATGCTTCTGTGCCACAGAGATAACATCAGAAGGGTATATCTCTATCTCTATCTCTATCTCTATCTCTATCTCTATCTCTATCTCTATCTCTATCTCTATCTCTATCTCTATCTCTATCTCTATCTCTATNCAGGCTCCAGCTGTTCTTCCGCCTCACTGATGTCTGACTCTGAAGGTAGCTGATAACTGGCATACGGCCCTGGCCCTCTCTCTGCCTCTGACACAGAACTCTCATCTGAGTCTTCCCCAGACTCCAGAACTGGCCCATGTTCCTTCCCAACCTCCTCACTGTCCGAATCTGCTGCTAGCTCTTCTGGCCGCTGGTGGGCCATAACACAAAAACTTCTCAAACACAAGTCAACAACATGTGTTTTAAAAAAAACAACAACAGGAAAAAAGAGAGGTGGCATATATCATAAAGATACACATACGTATAAAAAAAGTATATTGCCCCTATTGATCTTCTGAGATCCCCCAAACTTATATGATTATAAAATTCTAAACTGAAATCATCACACCAAATCCTGGAGTTGAGACGGCTGAAATCTGGCCGGATTATTGGTGGTCTCACCAGGACTGCCTACTTTTGATTGTTAGCATCTGGGATCTGAAAAGAGCTGTGCCTGCTATCTTAGCTCTTTTGTCAGCGTCTGGCCTTCTTAAGCAATGTTGAGAGCAGCTGTAGAATATTTCTTTTTTTCTGCCTTATTTTCCCTTGCTAAATCAAGGAAACATAGCATGTTCCAACCCAGAGTCAATTCAAGTGTGAATGGGTATTCCATCTTGCTATTCAAGATTATTTTATGGACTTATTAACAGATTAACAGAGTTGGAAGGAACCTTTGAGGTAATCTAGTCCAACCCCCCCCCCCCAAGGAGACCCCACACCTGCCAGGCCTGCAGCCATCTTTTCTTTTGGATATTGCCACACTTTATATTATTCTACTATACATTTTCTATTGTGGGAAAATGGGAGGGGGATTGTACGGAATTAGATGCTATGCAGCCAAAACAAAATTCTTTCTAGAAAGCCAAGGTCATCCTTTGTCGCTGCACCTCTGCATCTGAACGGGACTGGATGGGTGGAACTTCCAGCATGGCAGTGGAAGAATGGAACATGTGATAGAATTGTGGGTGTGGGGGCAAGATCTTGAACTTTCAACTGGGTGAGAAAACTGGGAAGCCTTCAGATTCAGGGTTTCCCAGATGTGCCAACATGGCTCNTGCTCCTTAGAAGCCCAGATCTTGAAGAGGAAACTCAAATCCTTTGGCCACCTAATGAGAAGGAAGGACTCCCTGGAGAAGAGCCTAATATTGGGAACGATGGAGGGCAAAAGAAGAATGGGATGACAGAGAATGAGGTGGCTGGATGGAGTCACTGAAGCAGTAGGTGTGAGCTTCAATGGACTCCAGAGGATGGTAGAGGACAGCAAGACCTGTAGAAACATTGTCCTTGGGGTCACAATGGGTGGGACATGACTTTGCAACTAACAACAAGAGCCTGTATTTCAGAAATGCTCCCTGTATCTAGTAGCCATGTATTGCCAGATTCTCCATGAACCTGCCCAATCTACTTTTAAAACCATTTAAAGGGGATTGCATTGAAGTTTCTAATTGGTATTGTGGAAAGAAGTACTTTTTCAATTGTGTCCTAAATCTTTCCCTATTTAGTTTTAATGGATGACCCCGAGTTCTAATACTGAGTGGAGAAGAACTTCCTTCTATACACAGTTCATAAGCTGGCATCTACTCCAGGTTTCCCAGTATGGTACCTTTCACATCAATCAATCAATCCATTTTCATTACAGATACATACCAGCATTACTCTCCAGATAGATTCCTATTCCTAAGAGCGTAGGAAGAGTCCTGAGGCTACAAACATCTGTCCAAGCCAGGATTCTGGGTCATATGGTGGTCAACCAGATGCATTGAATAGTTCACAAGGAGGAAAACGGGAAAGCAAAAGCTCTCTTCCAGTAGCTATGTCTTAAAATATACTCTCTGTAATTCTACGATAGCATAGAGACCTCGAAGCTGAGAATTGTTGATAGGTTGATCTCCCCCATTAAATTCTCCATTCTCTTCTAAAAATAATCTAAGTAGATGGCCATTATCACAATTTCATCAGAGGGTAACAAGTATCAGGCCTGCAGCCATCTTTTCTTTTAGATCTTTGGCCTGCCACACTTTATATTATTCTACTATGCATTTTCTATTGTGGGAAAATGAGAGGGGGAATTGTAGGAGTGTGATGCAATGTAGCTATAACAAAATTCTTTCTAGAAAGCCAAGATCATCTTTTGTCTTTGCACCTCTGCACCTGACCAGAACTGGATGGGTGGATCTGTCAGCATGGCAATGGGAGTTTGGACCATGTGATAGACTTGTGGGTGTGGAGGCAAGATTTTGAACTTTCAAATGGGTGGGGAAAACTGAGAAGCTTGCAGATTCAGGTTTTCCCAGATGTGCTCTCTTAATAAATTGGAACTTAAAGCAATTATTAGCCTTGGACTCTGATTTACTTTTTGATGCTATTTGGAACAGCATACTTATTTTGAAAAAGCTGTTGTAACAAAGAGTAATGATATCTTATTGGCTTCTTTTGGGGTGTCTACACATAGACAATTTCTTTTTTAAAAAATTCTTAAACATTTTTAATACAGTGTATTGTCATGGTATATCATTTACAAAAGAAAAATAGAAAACAAAATGAAATATTAACATATATACTGGTAACAACAGTAATAATATAACAGAATAATTTTGGTTCAGTTTTTTCTTTATATTAGCTTATTCATAATTCTATTAATTATATTAGCGTGTTTATAATTATAAACTACCTTTATATTTAGTTCAAGATAGCACTAATCTTTTTTCATCTCACTTCTACCTCTTATCTCTAACCACTCATAAAATCTATTCCATGTCAAGTAATATTCTGTGTCTTCTTTGTCTTTTGTTTTTAAAGTCAATCTATCCATCTAATATTTTTCGAATTACATCCTCATCTGATGGAGTGTTCTCATTTTGCCAATATTGTGCAAATATAATCCTTGCTGCTGTCAGTACATGTAAAACTAAATATATAGTCCCTTTATTATAACTCTCCAGCATTATACCCAACAAAAATATTTCTGGTTTCAGATCTATATTTTGCTTAAACATCTTTTCCAATCAAGTATGAATTTTCTTCCAATATTTTCTTGATTTCATACAAGTCCATCACATGTGGTAAGTGTTGAGGTCTGCTGGTGGCCTGTGGAGCTGGCAGCAGAGTCGGACAGTGAGGAGGTTGGGGAGGAACATGAGCCAGTCCTGGAGTCTGGGGAAAGCTCTGATGAGGGCTCTGTGTCAGAGGCCGAGAAGGGGGCCACGGCCATCTGATAGTTATGTGCTTCTTCCAGAGCCTCTGGAGTCAGTGGGGCAGAAGAAGAGTGGGAGCCTGTTCCCAGTGTGCATATGTGCAGAGCTGCCAGAAGGCAAGAATAATTAAGACAAAAGGGGTGACTCGGGAGTAAGGCTTGGAGATGATTGGCCCCTCTCATAAAAGAGGAGCAAATGGATGTGAGCCTTTTCAGGAAGCAATTTTGTTCATTCTGGTCAGTTCAAACTCTGAGATGCTCTACTTGACTCTGTGCTCCAGAGTCTCTGCCTGTGCTCTGTGCTCTGTGCAGTGAATTCCTCTCCAGGAAAGTCTTTCCTCTCTGGCTTTGCAAAACTAATTGGTCATTAGGTCTCTGGCAGCGTTTCAAGGGAGAGAAAGATGGGTGCTTATCAGCATTACCCTGAAAGACTGTGGCAGACTTCTGTCGGATTCTTCACAGACTGTTTATGAATCATTACAGGCTTTGAATGACCATAATTCACAGCTGTTGAAATAAGAGCATTTTGGGGGCTAAGCATGTGCTTTATGCTTTATCAGGAAGCCTAGGTCAGAACAATAATAAGTACCTGGTGTCTGATTACATTTCCAACATTTGGCAGCTATAGACAATTTCTTACCATCATCGTTGGACTTACCGGTGGCTTTTAAAGTCGGCTGCACTCCTAGCAAGAGTTTTAATCTTTTGGCATGGATTTTCCCTTGATAGTGTGACTCAGCCACCACCGCTGAGGTAAATGACATGTTACAGAGCGTACAGCACTTGTTCTTATCCACAGACTCCTCATCATTACCCTGGAGAAGACAAAAAGGAAGAAGCAGAGAGATTATCTTATTGGGAAGCAACAGTCACAGTAAGGAATTGCAGGCAAACTCCAGGAAAATCTGATTTTTCGAAGCTTGATTTTGAACTGGGATTTCCAAGAATCTGAAGAAACCTGAGTGGGATGTGGAGGATTGTCTTTTTACACTCAGAAACTTCCATCCTCAAATTATTCATCTACCTTTTTTTTCACAGATCTGACCTCTACCCCGAAGATTGTAGGGATTCAAGCAACAACATCAGGAATTAAAACAAACTGTTCTGATCTAGGCTTCCCCAGCAGGACCAAGCTGAGTCTCCATCCCGATAAACCCCTTTTATTTCATTGACAGTGAATTCCTCTCCAGGAAAGTCTTTCCTCTCCCACAGACTTTCAAGGTAGTTCACAATTACCGACCTTTATCAGGCTTAGAGAGTGGCCAGGCTGATATCTTTCAATAGTTGGCAAGAATGCAGGAATGAACTAATTGTCTCCTGCAAACTCCACTCCCCTTTCGCTCCTCTTTTATTTCCTCTGGGAGGGGCCATTCATCGTCCACCTGTGGCCTTACTCCCAAGTCGACCCCTGTTCTTTAGCTGTTCCCTTCGTCTGGCAACTCTGCACATGCGCACACTGGGATCAGGCTCCAGCTGTTCTTCCGCCTCACTGATGTCTGACTCTGAAGGTAGCTGATAACTGNCACACACACACGCTCCATTTTTGCTGTCAGAGAGCTGCAGGAAGCTATCATGGCTGAAAATGGAGCCTGAGCTCTGTTTTCACTGGCAGAGGCACCATGGGCCAGTCCTTCACTGCTTCCAGGATGGCCCCATGGGCCAGATCTAAACACCCCATGGGCCTGAGTTTGAAACCCGTTAATTAGAGTATACAAATCCCTGTTTAAAACTAAACAGAAGTCCTGAGCTGGTATGGTGTAGTTACAAGTTAATAGCAGCCCTGTTTCTATGTATGTCTCAGCTTAGTATCTGGCCAAGAATTTCTTTCCAGGAGCTTTTACACTTCTAGCATCTTTCTCTCGTCTGAGCTGGAAGCATCAACACGGAGTCCTTTCAACATAAAATATGTTTATTATTAGCCTTCAGTAGAGGAGAATAAAGGAAATGTCTCCAGCTAGAGGAGCTATAAATGCTTGTTAGCAGAAAAAAAGGCTTTTTAATACCCTGTTTTTGTTTTCTACTTCTCTCTCTCTCTCTCTCTCCTTTTATATATTAAGTTTTCTTCTTGTCTCGGGCCCTAGGGAATGATTTCAAAGTAATTTTAAAGCTGAAGTGCAATAAGAAATTGCTGTGAATTCGCACAGCAACATCCAACGAGGCTCAAGCTACTCACCCATAAAGATCTTGTTTGAAAACCTGACACTTGAAAAGTGTTTGTGGCTGCAGATTTATTTATTTATTTTTTCTCACATACACTGAGACTCAGTTGGGAGTTATTCATCCTGAGCTTTGCTGAGATTATTCTCCTTCAAAATCAGATAACTGTCATCATCAATTGTGGCAGTTTCAGTGGTCTCCCTATTCCATCAACCGAGTTTGCTTTTTTGCTCAGATGTTAACACTGGGAAATGATGGTAAGAATCTCGTGGGAGAATTCAAAGACCTCCATTGCTAGCTAAATAGCTTTTGTATTTCCCATCCCCATTTGGGGCCTGTCATCAAGATATGGAGGAGGGAACAAATGGATTCCATGATAGAGTGTTTCCAAACATCTAACAACCAGAAAACAAACGTGTTGTTCTCAGATCCTTCCCTACTTCTTTGTTTTCATGAATTTTGTGGTCCAGCATTTCTCAACCTTGGCAGAGTGAAGATGTGTAGATATAAATTCAGGGGGTTGGGTGGGGTGGTGGCCTCTGTGCCTCCCCACCTAGTGTGCTAGCTAGGGAATTCTGGGAGTTGAAGTCCACACATATTCAAGTTGTCCAGGTTAAAGAAAGCTTACTGTAGTCCAAGTGACTTGATTCTGTTGGATTTTCCTCCACTAAGATATGTACTAATAAGAGCAGTAAATCTGAGAATTGATATAAGGGATAATAAAGTGGTGCCACAGGTTGACATGTGGCCCATGATAATTGTCAGATACCATACATGGGAACGATGGTAGATGTGGCTTCACCTGGAGACAGCAGGATAGGACAGGACATGACAGAAGGAATGAAGGATGGGATGAGATGGGATGGGACGGGACGGGACAGGACAGGACAGGACAGGACCAGACAGGACAGGACAGGACAGGACAGGACAGGACAGGACAGGACAGGACAGAGTAGAATAGAAGGAATGAAGGATGGGATGGGACAGGACAGGATAGGATAAAATTAATAGAGTGGAGTGGAGTGGAGTGGAGTGGAGTGGAGTGGAGTGGAGTGGA